AATGGGAATATATTTGTACATTTTTTCTATGTGTTCTCTATAAAAAAAAGTCTTGCTTCATAAGCAACAGATTTTAATGTGCTCAGGAGACACGTTAGGAGTGCAGATGGCATGACTGCAATTAAACTCCCATACAGACAGTCCAATATTTTATGGTATATTAATCAGTTTAAACAAATCTAGCAGATAGATTATGGGGCTATAAAACAATTTGCTTCCACGCTGGATGAGAAATTGGCAGACAGAGCAATTTCATCTGTGTTGGATCAGGTTATCCGGCAATCATGGGATTTAATGGTCCTGCGCCTGTTCACAGCTCCGCTTTGTATGTAGCATATGCTGCAGCACATTGCGGCTCCCTGCAGAGCAGCAGTGAAGTGCGGATGTGGACCTTAACACGGAGCCATACGTTACCGCCATACAAATCCAATGCCGCCTCTTCTCTATACAGAAACTGTTTTCATTTATATTATTCATTTATTATTTTTAATGAATGACAATATATAGAAATGTAGCAATGAAATGCAGCGCTATTGATTTTTTTGCATTGTACATAACACTGGATAGACAAGTCTTTCTTGGCACAGCTATTGTGTCCGCTACTACACATGTAGGACCCCCATGGTGTAGATCCCCCATGCAGGTGATATGCTGTGTAAGTACTGCACCTGGGGTGGTTTTATAGGACCAAACCAACTGCAAAAAGGATGAGACAATACTCTCTCGGATTGCTTTTCTTGACAAATATGATTATAATAATAATAATAATAATATGGGGAAGTTGTGTTTCTCCTGCAGCTGACCTGCTGTTAACTACAACATACCTGCCACATATTGACTCATATCAGTGACCCATGGGGTGGCTAGGTTATTAGGTAGCAGCACTATTGCCTTGGAGACTGGGGATATGGACTTCCGACCATGGACACACATTACCTGCCACATATTGGTTCAGCTAGGTGACCCATGGAGTGCCTGGGTTATTAGGTAGCAACACTCTTGCCTTGGACACTGGGTAATGGACTTACCACCATGGACACACATTACCCATCACATATTGGCTCAGCTAGGTGGCCCATGGAGTGGTTAGATTATTAGGTAGCAGCACTGTTGCCTTGGGCACTGGGGATATGGACTTCCCCACCATGGACACACATTTCCTCCAAATATGGCTCAGGTAGGTGACCCATGGAGTGGCTAGGTTAATGGGTAGCAGCACTATAGTTTTGGACACTGGGATATGGACTTCTCACCATGGACACACATTACCTGCCACATATTGGCTCAGGTAGGTGACCCATGGAGTGGCTAGGTTAATGGGTAGCAGCACTATTGGCTTGGACACTGGGCATTTGGACTTCCTACCATGGACACACATTTCCAAGCATCCAATTTCCATCAACTTCTTTCAGGATCACATTTAAAACAACTGATGTCTGTCCCAAAGCCTAGTCTTGGGACCGATCAGTCTTCAGACTTGGGACCGATCCTTTTTATTTTATTCATAAACAACAGAGATTGGAATAAATAGTTCAATCTCTGTCTATGCAAGCGATACTAAAATTGTGTAGGGCAGTTAATTCTCAAAAAGATATAAATTCACTTCAACAAGACCTAGATATAATTGAGGCATGGGCTGCCAGATGGCAAATGCAATATAATATTGAAAAATGAAAGGTTACGCACATGGGAGCAAAGAACGTGCATGCAAACTACTACCTAGGGGATGCTCCACTGCACTGGGGTAGTCAGACATGAAGAAAGACCTGGGGGGGGGGGTCATAAAGTCAGCAATACCAAGCAGCAGCAAGCAAGATACTAATCTGCATTAAAAGAGGAATTTCGGCATGGGATAGAAACTTCATTTTACCACTTTATAAATCACTGATTCAGCCTCACCTTGAGTATGCGGGTTCGGTTGAGGTCACCAACTCTCAGGAAAGACGTCCTCGAAAGAGTTCAGAGAAGGGCTACAAAATAAAAAAAAATAAAAAAGGATGGATGCCTGAGTTATAAAAATCACCTACAGAAATTAAACTTGTTCTCCTTAGAAAAGAGGTGCTTAAGAGGGGACCTAGTTGCAATTTTCAAAATCATTAATGGGGACAACAATATGCGGAATGAGATGTTTACACCTAGAACAGTATGGATGATATGAGGGCACAACAAGACGCTAGAAGAGAGGGGGTTCCATCGCAGACTGCATAGGTGTTTATTTTACTGTGGGAGTAGTAAAAATGTGGAATTCTTTTCCACAGTCACTAGTATGCACTGATAGCATTGATCAATTCAAGAAACGTTTAGATGAATTCCTTAGTTTACTAAATATACAAGGATATGAGAACTAAGAGCCACACATACACACAACTATGTAACCAAGTCCAGCCCAGCCAAGGTGCCCCATTGGCCCCTCCATTGCTTAACCACTGCTTTTGTGCATTTTTGTCAAGCCAGAGTGTTTTGCTTTAGCCAATGGAAAGAGAGTTACTAGAGGAGATCATTGCACGTTATGCATGTTTTTTTTAGGTGCTCCTATGGGGCCAAAAATGAGCAATTCTGCCGGAAAAACAAAAAAGTTCATGTACTTTTTTTTGAGCAACAGGTGTAAAGCTAAAAGTGACTACGCTTAGTCGTGTTTGTGGGTTTCCTCCCACAAACCAAAAGCATACAGTTACATATGTCACTGTAAATGGGGTGCCAGTAGATTGTAAACTCCTTTGGTGATACTGACTGGCCAAAAAAAAAGGCACCACGTGGATTTTTCTAAGCAAATAGGTTGGAGCCTTCCAGTGGATAATAGGTCTAGGTTCAGCAATGTTATGTGCCCATAAAATGAAGTCAGCTGCCTTCCTGAATATACTGAGTGACCAGGTTTTTCCATCAATGGGGTTTTTTCTTCCCTGATGGTACATTGGGCATATTCCAAGATGGCAATGCCAGGATCCATTGGGCTCAGATTGTGAAAGAGTGGTTCAGGGAGCATGAGACACCATTGTCACACATGGATTGGACACTACAGAGTCCAGACCTTAACCCCATTGAGAATCTTGGGGATGTGCTGGAGAAGACCTTACGCAGTGGTTCGACTCTCCCATCATCACTACAAGAAGATCTTGGTGAAAAATGAATGCAACTCTGGACGGAAATAAATGTTGTGACATTCCATGAGCCTATTGCAATGACGCCACAATGAATGCGTGCTGTAATCAAAGCTAAAAGCGGTTCAATTAAATCTTAGTGTGTGACTTTTTTTTTTGGCCAGGCAGTATATAAACGAGTTGTGGAACTACAAATCCTAGCATGCCATTGCACCAGATGGGGCTAGAAGGTAGTAGATTGGGAACACATGGCAGTCTGTGTGCAGATCCTCCTTCTGATTAGTATAGACCTGTTCTATAGGAGAGGGTGGAGAGCATTGGGTTGATTGAATTACTCTGCATGTCACTGCGCTCCCCATTCAGAGGAAGGACTGGAGGAGACGAGGCTGCGCTTTGTGAGCTGTCCCTGGTGCTGAATCCGGACTGAGAACTCCTCCAGCTCTTTATACAGGAAAAGCGGCTTCCCCTAGCAGCCCTGAACTGCACCTACACCACACACATCTGCCTCTCCCAGCAGACACCCTGCACATCTGCACCACTTACAATGGTGAGTACAACTCTTTCTTCATCATAGCAATGGCATGCTATTGTCAGCTTTACTTGCCAACACATTATTTCATAGCCAGGGAAGTCATCAGCCTTCTTGTTACTTTACAAGCAACTTGCAGTTACAAGTCAGCCACCCAAAACTGATATTTCAGTGAATGTTGTATAGATGAAACACTTATTGCTTGCTTACATGTCTGTGGAGTCTGTAGCAAGAGAAGTGAGACAGGTATTAGCAGCATTCTGAATACAGAGGGGTGTCACTGGTAGAGTTGTATGGGTGATTTAAACCACCAGTGCCCACTTATCACTGGACTATCAGTTTGGGTGCATTCAGCCCATGTATAGGATAGAGTAGGCAAAGCTGCCTTTTGTATTTCTCATTTTGGGTCCTAAAGTTCTTTTGGATGATTTGTGTTGGATCTTATGTGCCATGTGGAAGCTTTTCACATTTCAGCTCGGGTATCGTTTGCAGTCCACTTTTACAGGAGGGTACTAATTCTCCATCAGTGGGGCAGCGTGCGAAGCAAGGGACCAGTCAGAATCCTTGTGTCATCGGTCTACATGTCCCAATATCCCTGATGCTAGGTTTATTTTATACAAGTGTATGTCTGCAGTTATCGCTTCTGTAACTGCTCCATGTACAATCATGCAAAATAATACATATATATATATATAATCTATATCTTATGTGAGCTGGGGAATAGGTGGCGGGTGCAACTGCTCCCTGGGGTGAGCACTCTTGAAAGGTTTAGATACCAGACTATTGACCTGTCTTCAAACAGTGGTACATTTATTGGTGCAACACACAGGCTATATACAGTGCTCAAATAAAGTAAACACTTCAAAAACAAAATCATAGCCACCTCTTAGCACTGACTACCAACCTGTACAAACCTATTGTTTATCAGCCTTCAGCAAAACACCATGACCAACCTTGTGCTCCAGCAGATTGACACTGTCTGCTCTATACACTTCTTGTATTTAATATGGTCTTTGAAAATGATCACATTGTTTTAAAGGAAACCTGCACTGAGAGAAAAATACACTGCTGACCAGTAAATGCTTATTTCCTGGCTGTCTTTGGGTTCAGTATTTTCAGAAATCACTGACCCAGAACCAGCCAATCCAAAAAAAGTCATCATGAAGTCAGAACTCCTGAGCTGCATTGATGCATTGGCATTTTCAGAAGCAGATGTTAATAATAGTACACCTCTCCTGTGCTTTGTGGTGTTACCTTGAATGCTTATCTGGGTCCTGTTATTACCTGCATGCTGCCAGATATGCCCCTTTACTAATGAAAATAATGTTTCTGAGAGCTTTCTATTAAATGATTTTGTTTCTGAACAGGGAAGTTGGATTTGAGCAAGGCGTACCTCCAACAATCAAACTCTATTGGTTAACCACTACTGCCAAACCCCTGTAAGAGCCTCAGGCATGGATAACTTTACATTGCCTCTCATGGCAAATGAGACGGAGATCAACCAGACTTTGGACAATATGCCCCAGAATGCTTTAGAGGTCCAGGTTGTCACCATCTTCTTAGTCCTTTTGATCTGTGGAGTTGGGATTGCTGGAAATATAATGGTGGTTCTGGTGGTCTTGAGAACCAAACACATGATGACCCCAACCAACTGCTACCTGGTCAGCTTGGCCATTGCTGACCTGATAGTGTTGTTGGCTGCGGGGCTGCCTAACATCTCAGAAGTGGTCGCCTCCTGGGTCTACGGCTACGCTGGCTGCCTGTGCATCACTTATCTACAGTACCTAGGCATCAACATCTCGGCTTGTTCAATCACAGCATTCACTGTGGAGCGTTACATAGCCATCTGCCACTCCATAAAAGCCCAGTTCATCTGCACGGTGTCCAGAGCCAAGAAGATCATCGCCTTCGTGTGGATGTTCACCTCGGTGTACTGTGTCATGTGGTTCTTTCTGGTCGACACCAAGGAAGTCAAGTTTGCTGATGGGGACCAAATCAGCTGTGGCTACAGAGTGCCCAGGAACTTGTACACACCCATCTACTTTTTGGACTTCACTATCTTCTACGTAATCCCCTTGGTCCTTGCTACGGTTTTGTATGGCTTGATAGCACGGATATTGTTCATGAATCCGTTGCCTTCTAACCCTCAGGATCTTAGCAGGATGAGTTCCAAACACCACGGGAAGCCCTATAACTCCATTAAGCTTTCTTGCAAAGGCAACAAAAATACAGTCAGTTCCAGGAAACAAGTGAGTACCATTTTGTTATCAACTTCGACCTGCATCAACACAGTGGTCCCATTTATATATCCTGAAAGTTAAAGTAACATTTGCACCTTAAAATAGTAAATAAAAATCCAAAGAATGCATCACATGTGATGCTAAAAGTAATTTAAACATGTACTTTTTTTTTCAGTACATTTCCCTATGGTTTGTAGTCCAGCAGGGAGAACTTAGGCAGGGCTGACAACGCTGGGTGGGATTTCAATACAACAGAGGCACTGTGTTGTCAGCTCAAACAGGAAGTTAGATATTCACTGTTTTTCTGGCTGGATCAATGGCTTTAAAGAGATAATACATGAGGGAGTTTGCAGGAAGGTAGGCACTTTAAAGTTTTTCTCCAATTACCACTTCCCCCAACACCCTTCACCTCCTCAAAACTATTCAGCATGTTAGTTTAAGAAAGCATATAAATTAATCTAAAAGCCAAAAATACCCACCTTAATCCGCAGTCATGTGAACTGCATTCAGAATCTTACAACAGAGCAGGAGGGTCCATCTTTCAGTGTTCCCATTGTTGTATAGATGATGTACACACTTCCCATTGGCTGTCTAGTGCTAGGGTCCCCTCAGAATTGCAGAGGCACAATGACGTCACTGTGAGGGGTCCAGTCAGCGGATACATAGACTACAGAGTTAGATCGCTGGTCACCCCTCCAGCAAGGAACATGTGACAGCAGACTTCGGTGACTACAAAAGGGGTTTAATGAATGGGTGAGAAAAAGGTTTGGGTTTGCCCAGTGATGGGCTTTAACATTTTTTATTCAGTTGTAAAAATGAGAAAACTGTAGAATTTCCACCATGCATGGCTTCTCTTCTGAAGCTGCTGAATGCTGCACTAGACAGGACTGGCAGTTTCAATCAGGTTAATACGAGCCTCAAAGAGGAACTGTACGGATCAAATACTAAGGCTGATGAAATGGCTTGTTTTTGAAGCTTCAAGCAGTGGGAATGTCATGCTTATCCTTGTTTTAATTTTGTGGTTCTTATGCACCAATCTCACTTTTAGCTTCTATAGCAGACAGTTCATTGTGGGACTATTCTGTCTTCTCAATTTTTATTCCAGGGTTGCTATAGAAGGAGCTCACATATGACAAGGTGTTGTATAGCACTGTCCATTGTAATGGGGCTGCTAAGCATTGGTGCCCACACTAGCCATGGTACCATTTCCAGTTCCTCCACTGTATCCATATCCACCGCCATTGCACACCACCTCCAGGATTCATCAGTACCCAAACAAACATAGTACAAACATGAAACCAAACACCACTAGTCCAAATAGCTTAAAAACAACTTTATTGACCCAGCAGAAATAAAGACACTCCATTAACACCCCCCTCTGTGGGATCAATAAAGTGGTTTTTAAGCTATTCCAACTAGCCATGTGTCGCTTCACATGCATATTACGCATACAGACACCTTTGGATGCAAACCTGGCATTTTTACATATCAGATGAAAATTTAGGACCTGTGGCATATTTTGCATTATAGCACAGGTGCCCTCTGGATGTGCATTGGAGTGGCAGTCAGAATAATTTGACACACTGTACTTTGCAATCCAAGTGAAAATTGTTCCAAAACAAGCTAACCTGACCTACCAATCGCTCTGAGAATATAGACCAGACCCACATTGGTTGGGACCAAGCCAGATGTGGACTATTGAGTTTGGCCATTGGATGAACCTTCTTTCTAGCTATTTCAGGACTTTTAAAGGGTCAGTCCACCTGAAAGTGATAATTTTGTAATAAGTAGAGTCAGGTGGGCTGAGCCAGGCCATGGCTCCTTATATGTTTTGGAAACTCCAAAAGTGAGACCTCTCTACCATTATTCTTGGCTCCTGTCCGCCTGGAATGTTTGGGTGTCCTGCACACTTTTGTATGTTCCAGCCACTCCTGTTATATTCTTCATAATATTGCATACATAAAACATCTAGCAGAAATGGTGAGAGCCCCTCATAATGGACACAGCAGGTGTGGGAACTTTGAAACTTAGCTCAAAGATCTCACCAACAGAGTCTCAGAGAGATATCTTAGACTGTTGGGTGGTTTTAACTCTCCAACATCTACCAAACAGTGAAATATCAGTTCTAGATGGGCTGAGCCAGACCAAAACCTCTTATATGTCTTGGATACCCCAACAGTGAGACCTCCCTACCATAATTCTTGACTCTTGGCTCCTGTCCACCTGGAACTTTTGGGTGTCCCCGACCACCTTTGTGTGTTCTAGCTCCTCCTGTTGCATTCCCTATAATATAAAATACATAAAACAACCAGCAGTGATGGTGGGAGCCCCTCATAATGGACACAGCAGCTGTGCAAACTTCGGAACTTAGCTCTAAGATCTCACCAACAGAGTCTCTGAGAGACACCTTACAGCCGGGATGGGGGAGCCCCTCATAATGGACACAGCAGGTGTGCAGACCTCAGAACTGAACTGGAAGATCTCACCAACCAAGTCTCCTAGAGCTATATTAGACTGTTGAGCGGTTTAACTCTCCAACATCTACCAAACACTGAACTATCAGTTTGAGATGAGCCAAGCCTTTAAAAGAACTCAGATATGTATTACTCTTCCAGTATATAGTGTCTTACATCTCTTCTTCTACCAGATGATATTCTCCGGAGGAGAAGGGTGACTTTACGCGTTTCACGCTCTTGCATCCATAATGTAGCAAGTCCGTGCCCCACAACAATAATAACGGGGGAGTTCTGCAAAACACAACCTATAAACAAATGTAATCAAATCCCTGTCAGGTGTGATGATTTCCCATTCTAGCCGAGCGCCAGTGATATTTATTCATCGTGAGGGAACAGCTGCTCCATCGCGCACTGGAGAAAGTAACACGCTCATATAATAGTCCTAAATTATGTTGCTTTTCTGCTAAAGCGCTACGTTGGTTCTAAAATGATCTTCACGATCTTCATATCTCATCTTATTTCTGTAACAAAGAACTCCTGTCATATGTGTTGATCTTTTCAGCTCCCTGGTCTTTGCACATGCTCCTCGCTACAGTAGTTGCTTGCTTCTTTGACACACCACATGCAGCAGTCTTTTTAGGTTTAGGAAGTCATTTATGGTGGGAGTAACAGCCAAACCCCTCATCACAAGTGCCCACACACACACTTATATTACAAAAAGGGGGTGTGTTTGATCAGTTGTTACTGAGCGCTTATTACTGAGTACACTGAGTCTGTCCCCAGTACCTGTTAGACTGCACAGATGTTGTCAGACTCCCTCTGCAACTGCTGGGGAAGCAAGACTTTGAAGACAGAGGTTCTTAGGACAAAGTATATCTGACTGCATATCTAGTTTTATGACTTCAGCAGAACTTTAACTTACAGTGATAAGACAGGTGTATTTATTTAGGATAGAAAAGTGCTCACAAAATGGCTTGAAATCCCTTTATACCCACTCTCTATTGTAAATCACATGCTTCTAAATTCCGTTCTGAGACCAGGTATGAATCTAAATAGTGCACAGGCTTGTCAATCATGTCTATGCTTACACTTTAAAATGGACTGTTCACCTTCACACCTTCATGATTATATCATTGTTCCAAAAAATATGGACCTTGAAGTATTAGTAGGCAATGCTTGAGATAAAATCAAGATACATCCATCAGTCTGCTGCAGGCGGGAGGACACATTTCCCCAGTCTCAGTAATTTGTTCAGTTCTTGATCGAACAGTGACTGCAGTCAATCAGCTGCAATAGCCCAGCATGGAGGATGGGTAGGTGGGGGAATCTGTCAGATTTTTGTGTTCAACCTGAAAGCTGAATGATGTAAAAGGGGGGTCTGATGTGAAGGAGGTTCCTGATGTGAAGGGGGCTTCTGAGATGAATGGGGACTCTGATGTAAAGGAGACTGCTGGAGTAGAAGGGGAACTCTGAAGTGAAAGGGGAGACTCTGATATAAAGGGGGCTCAGTGTGGAATGGGGCTTCTGATGTCAACAGGGCTGTGATGTGAAAGGGGGGCTTCTGATGTGAACTAGGACGCTGATGTGAAAGGGGGACTCTGAAGTGAAGGAGGCTCCTGGTGTAGAAGGGGGCTCTGATTTAAAGGGGAACTCTGATGTAAAGAGGGGCCTCTGATGTGAAGGGGACTCCTGATGTCAACAGGGGGCTTCTAATGTAAAAGAGAGGGGTCTCTGATGTCAAAAGGGCTCCTGGTGTGAAGGGGGGACTCTGATGTGAAAGGGGGGGATTTTGATGTGAAGGGGAGACTCTGATGTGAAGGGGGCTCCTGATGTGAAGGGAGAGGGGACTCTAGTGTGACTGTCCTGCACTGTCCAGCATTAGCCTCTGACAGCAAGATATTGCCAACTTCACCCAACTAATATGGACATTGCTACAGAGAACTATAGAAAAATGCTACAGAAAACAAAGAAATTAATTAGAAATGATTACTGACACAGTCCCTCACTTTATATGAACTTGTCATCCTTAAAGTGGACCTAGCATCAAATATATATTTTTATGTTAAGTTCATGCATGTTTAGTATTGTGCAAGGACAATCCTTCCAGATATGTATTACCGCTCACAGTGATCGCCTGGCAATGCCTTCATCTGCCTCTCTCTCCAGAAGGATGGAGTCTCAAACCTTGCCTTCTAATAGTAATAGGTACACAATGTTTTGGAACAATGATACTGTTTCCTGATATTATTAGATGTCAGGAATATAATAATGACTTGTAAAGGTGAAAGGTCCATTTTAAACTGCAATCATAGACATGTTCCACAAGTGTCTGCTGTTGAAATAGATTCATACCTGGTTTCATAATTATTTTAGTTTCTATGATTTCATATCTATCACCTTCTCCCAGATGACAATCTCTATGTTTGTATAGTGATCCCTTGCTGGCTTTTCTTGGATTAATATGTGTTTAACGGACTCCCTGAGTGATGGGCCGAATGACAGACTTATGGAAGAAATCATTGATTTTCATTTGGATCAATTGTTACAGGAGTG